AATGCCATATTGATGACTTTAAATAACTCGTTCATTGACCAAAGAGAGCGCTTCTCCAGTGAACAGTGAAAAACAGACCTAGTTTGACTAAAAAAAWTAAATAACTGCTTTAATATGTAAATATAAAAAGTGCTGAAATCACACGACTTAAATTTAAAATAAATTTGCACTGAATAAGCTCTTTTTGCACTAAATGAATTTCGTTTTTGCCCTGTATTTTGAACTAATTTCAGTCAGTCAATCAGAAAATCGATTGTGTCATGTATATTATTTTAAACTAAGTATTTAAATTTTGATTAAGGAGATAATTATTTTTGATTATCATAATTATTATGATTATTATCTCTCTTGGAGTCATCATTATCCTAACAGAGACGCCGTTTACGAGGGCAAAGCATGAGATKTATTCCTCGCATTTTATGGTAAAATAGCCGGTAAAATAGTTCTTGCAAATATGTTGCAAAAACACACAAAAAATGGTCGTTTTTCTTGATAACATTTGCAAGATGCATCATGGGATTCATGAAAGTACCAGCTGAGTAATGTTGTAGTTTTTCGATCGTTTTTCCGATGTTTCAGAGTTTTTTGGGGATCAACCACCATTATTTCCCAGAAAGGTCTTTTAACATACCCTGGATTGCAGGCAATAAATTCAATACTCTTTCACAGCAATCTTGACAACGACAACAGAAAACGTTAATTTTCACAAGAAAGAAATATCCGCCATCTTGATACTTTCACCAATACCATGATGCACTGCACCGAATAACACGTGACGTCATTAGGCTAGATTTACCACTCAAGCACACGTAAAAAAAGGCGATGACAACATATCCCGTTATGCTTTGCTTTAGAAAATGGCGTCTGTGGATATTATCAATATTATTATTGATCATCATCAAATGAAAATCATTACCATTGTGACAATCATCATCATCGTTATTAAAATTCGTTATCGGATTAGAAACATTACCATTAAGATTAATTTATTTTTATTACAATTAATGTCTACGATTTTCATAAAAAAAATTCGGAATTTGATTCTAAATCGCAAAAYTAGAACGTCATATGTACAGCCATTTTTAACAATCTTTGCATTGAGACTCCTTGCATGTCAAAATCACCATTCTTTTAATTTTCGGATTTCAAATAAAGATGTATAAGATTCATATAAAGAGAATAAAACCTTCAAATGYTGAAGAGAACAACACACTCAGCACGTCAGCTGTCTTAGTGACCAGGTCAAAGGAAACCACAGGGATCCCAAAGAATTCCGGACATTTATTTGATTTTCTCAAAACGTATTCGAAGGTCTTTGTTAAAAATGACTGTAATTTAAACCTATAAACGACTTATAGGTTGATAATTAATCAGTATATATATACCACAGTTATACATTGATTACTCGTCAGTATATATACACAACATTACGTAATCCTATTCCAGTATTTTTGGCTATGACGTCACTGTGACGTCACTGTTTATGACGTCACTGACTATGACGTCACTGACAGGTGTGCATTATGACTCTCTCTGAGCATTTTTTACACTTGACTTTGCAACACCAGTAAAATTTGCATTGGCAATCCCAGACACGCACTACTTCGTGTACATTGTAGCCCCGGCCACAGCACAGCACTTTGCAGCTGTTAGTTTTCGATAGGTTCTCTTCGTTTTCGCACCATCTCCCGACAGTTCCTGGAATATGTGCTTTTGAGTTTTTGACTTCGTCGCAATAGCTGGGAGACTTCCGGTTCATTACCATGTGAACATTTTGAGGTTTCACGTTAATGTTTTTTTTCAGGACTAAGTACGAAGGAACCTTCTCTGCAACAGAATGCCTCAACACTGATTTAACTTCAACAGTTGTCTTGTCAYCGTCGTAAATATCTTTGAGTCGTTCGCCGATGTGTCGAAATTTAGGGAGCCACTTCCAACATATTCGTGTCGAGCATTGTCCTGAAACCCCCTCRCATTTGCATTTTTTGTCCAAATTATTCTTCATCACCTACAGAAAGTGTTTCCCAAAAACATTTGTTACCTGGTTATGCTTATTAAGGCCAGCTCTCGTTGGACAATTTTTTTTAAAGTCAATAAAACGGCATTAATTGGAAGAATTTCATTTTGGTAATTTTTTCCTTTTGGGAAGTGTTTTCAATGGATTTTGTATCAATCTATACCATTTSCACATTTTTGCACATTTATATTCTCCTAATGAGTGTATTTTACGAGATCTTTCAGTGAACTTCACCGTTTTTCAATATGATTTTTTAGTGTACCGTCTAACATAAAATTATTTTAATAAGAAGCCGAGATTCTTGCGTACAAAAGTAAAAAAACGATCGTATACCGCCACATCGCTACGGATAAGAACCCGCTACCAGCATTAGAAAAACGGTCTTCATTTGGCGACACCTTTGGTTATCATGTCCCCTTGAAGTCAATCTATTTTCTAAGAAAGGATAGCGATTAAAACTTCCGAAAAACAAATAATATTTATGAATTTTCTTAGTTTTTTTTTTTTTCGACACAAACTGCAATGAACTGGTAGAGGGATCTTCCTTCCAAAGTACTGTGTCATCTCGGATCTGTACACTTTGGTAGAGTGGACCAATTGAACACCCCGTAGGCTGTTAGTGTCGGTGCCATGGCCGGGAGCTTYGTTTTTTCCATGTCTTTTCTTATCAGCGCTCGAATCGAAGCGCGCAAATGCCTGTCATGGGATGCCCATATTTGGTATGCAACATTGCAAGTTCTAGAAACTGTGTGGTCGGTCAGCAGACAGTCTAATAAGTTTTTGTGACATGTTGTACATATTCTGAATACTCTTAGCTTATTAAAGTAGAAACTTAGTTTATTTTTAATTGACCATCGCCTGTGATTTCAAGCTACGAGAATATGGTTAAAGTATGTGCAATCCTTACTTGTTTTCAACCCAATAAGAATAACAATGGAGTGATCTTAAGTTTTAAAATATTGTTACATATTTACGGTCTTGGTTCATTTCCTGTAGCAGTTTTTGATAATGATTTAAGTGYAGTATAAATGACCGTCATTCACATTCAAATAAACAACATTTTCTGTTTCTTTTACTTAATAAGATTAACTCACTTGCCTGAAGTTTCGTTAAATGTGGCAATATAACGTGAAAATGAAAACCTTTAGATAAGAACTCAATTGCTGACAATTACAGCTAGCAGTAACAGTTTTAAGTTGTTTTTATTATTACATAGTTGCTGTTTCATAACGTTCTCATCGCTCAAATTATCTGTGTAAATTTTGTAGTTTTAATTATAAACTGTRGAACACATGCTGTGTTCGCGTGAGTTCATTTGATTCTCGGCGGGAGTTCTTGGCTTTTTTATTACCAAAAATGAAGTTTTTATTTTATAGAATAAACGTTTTCCCACAATTAGACTAACCTACTGTGCGAATAAAGCAGTCAAACAGCAACGCAGTTGGAAAAGCTATCGCAATAATCAATCTTTTTTCCGTGGGTTGTTATCTCGATAGTGCATGGTGTTATATCGCTGCAAGAACGAGTGTAAAGCAATATGATAACATCTAAGAGTACAAACATCTTTATCTGCTCGCAAGTTACTCAAACAAAGTCCACTCAATTAAAGAAAAAATCTGCGTTTTTAAAAAGTCAAAGTTAAGTTAGTATACGTGTATAATTCACGAGTGAAAATCAATGGTTTTGTGTTATTATAGGGAGCCAATAAGCAAAACATTGTACTAAAACTATGTGTGTTTAGAATTCATGTACATTTTTCAAWGTCGGTCAAGTAATTAAGTTGAATTCTTTCTTTTCTATTTGGACCAGCCACATATTTAATAAACTGACGGTATTTCATTAAAAGCTCGTCGAAGTTATAGATACAATTGATAGCAATAAAACGATTAATAAGGCCCTCTTTGTAGGACTCGAGGCGTTTGTTTTGATTGATCCATTTGTGTATATTAAAGGCAACAGAAGACATGCTGACTATGGGACAAAAACAAAACATTTAATATCCACACGAGGCAAAGAAGGCCAAATCCTTTCCAAAGGTGCCGAAGCTTTGTAGTAGCGGTATAAGACGTTTCATGTCGATCGACGCAAGAGCCTCCGAGACAACAAACATATTCACACTCACGTATTTTTCAGAGCGTAATGCTGGCCCAGCCAGTGTATTATCGTATTGTTTAAGAGTATAAACGTTTGCTAATCCATTTGAACTTTGATTGTCCTTGATTATCCGTTTTGAAAGTGTTCGACTCTTATCGCTAATGTTAACTTCAAGTGCTTCAAAATATCAAAATGACACCTTTTGAGAGTTTCGATGACAGCTTTTCGAGAGCGATCAAAAATACTACGTTGTWWGATTTGATTTTTATCCAATTTYCAACGTGAAAAAATCGTCATTCCCTGGCTCGCCAATCAAATTCTCGGAGCAAAATTCGATGAAAATGAAAAATCCAAATAGCGATAATTTCCAATATCCCGTAATTGAACAWGTTATGAAATGAGAAAAACACTATTTTCAAATTGGATTTACTATCATCATAAATCACTACAACCGCGCGATCCTTGATATCCCAGATTTAATTTCCGATATGTAATTAGAATCTGTGGTTTGGCGGTGTGCAAATTAACCTCTCAATAGCTTACAGAGGGAGTTTATTAAAACGATGTCTGGATCTCCAACCCGTATTTATCATTTCCTCTTTGCGTTTTACACCGCCGAAAGAAAGACAAAATAAAAGTGAGCTATATTTTGGTAGGGAAACTGCAGAACGTTTCCTTCATTCCCTTAGGTTGTTCCTTCGCGTGAAATTTTGTCTTTGTCGGCTACGAAAAAACCTTGCTGTCCAGACAATCGTTTATAGATTAGCCCCTATTGTTTTAGGGTTATTAGGACAGTTATTATATCATTACAATCATATATTACACGCGTTATTACTATTAGGCCTTGAAGAGAAGAGAAAGCGTTAAATCATGCTACTTCGTCACTTACCGCCAAACCAACTTCGTTATTGTGCGTGTTCATGAGTTTGATTTCTTGATTCTTTGAATCTTGTCCATCGAGGAACTCCTTTGCTAATTGAATGCCATTATTGATACTGTTTTTWGTATCGCTTTTCACTCCGGGAAGAGTGAAGTTGCCACTACTTAGGGCTCTTGCCACGGAATGAGCTATGCCTGCTGCAATGATCGCATGTGTGAAGGCATCTTCTTTAGTACCAGCTGAAAAATAATACAAAAATCCAACGTTTACRCCTWGTGRAAAGCAGTTATATTACACTATGTGGATATTTCGTGTACGCGCASTTTTGCGCAGTGTTRCTTYGGGTGAAACAACAATRAGCGCATTTTCTTTCAAGATCCAAACAAAGTATTAAAAACATCCAAGTCGAGTAAAAATATTGCATAATTCATGTCTCTTTGTATCTAAATGGTAGAATTAAAGGAGGGGGGAAAGCTTAAACAAATCTAAAATGCTCAAAGAATCGAAATGCAACGGTACTTAAGAAAAACGTCATGGCACTATGATTAGCATGAGGGAATGTATTCAAAGCGTTTGYATATGCGTAAAAAGAGGATTACACGGTATTTGACCAAAGCTTATAATTTGAAACCCTTCGAAAGGTTATTAAAACGATCGTGCAACAATGGGYTGGATAAAAATCATTAAAGTAGCCTCCTTTGTGGGGTTCGTACCGACACTGTTAGTCACACTCTTTATACAGAAAAACTATACAAAACTCGTGTCAATGGACATTTTAAACAAATACACCGGAAAACGTACGGCGCGATGCGTCTTGATTTACCGAGGTACTACAAATTTACATTTYTTGACAGTATATAACATGTAGGACTTATATAAATATAACGGGATATACAGTAACCCTTAGCGGTCATAAAATCGTTGTCAAGTAGAGATCTAGCATTAAGCACGAAGGTTATTATATGACACTTGGTCCGAAGACATAGAATAGATCTGTCATCGTTGACTAACATTGCTTATGGTTCATCCTATGTTTCGTGATGTCGATGGCCATAGGTACCATCGGTTTACAGCGGCGCTATGTGTGATGTCCTTTTGTCCTTTCACCACTRGAAAGTAGCTATTTTCATTCACGCTCACATGTTAAAAACTGAACTCATTTTAAAGGCTGAAGAAGCACACAAATGAGTCCAAATCTTTGAACACACCCAAATATGAATGGAGGGAGGGAGTAGGGCAACACACGACGTACAACACTTAAATCACTAACAACCCCTTAGGCACACAATGCTAGACTAGATAATCCTACTGACTAGCTAGTTTATTGACTAAAGTATACTTACGAACTGCATGATTCCTGTACAATGGTGGCTTGGAGATCAGAGACGTACAATTCCAACGCCTCTTTCTAAACTGAAACTTGCACTCTTTAATGCCAATTGCAATGCCTTCGAAAATCGATGCCATAAGCGATCGGTATTTTTCACAGAATCGCATCTGTTTGGAGGTTACGCCATGAATGCTGGTGCAGATAGTAGCTGGAGTCAAAGCCGCTGATGTTACACTATTCAACGAGAAAACAAGAACAGTTTAGTGAGAACCAAGAGCTTYACTTKTGCACCGTGATGGTAATGCTTACAATAAATTAGACTGGTCAGTTTCAAGCACGTTTTGTAAAGAGAACAACACTGCTACCATAATCCGAACAAACATTATGGACCAATTGGACATGTTGCCTTGATTTACGAGTTTGGTTCTGATGCCAGACGTACACCGAGTCTGTTATATAAACCAAGCTCCAAAAACCTGCGACATCCACGTGCGATCTGATTGGTTGGCGGAGGCTCGATTAATCAATTTTTTAATTTAGTATTCGGAAATTAACAATGATGCATGAGATGTTCCATTTATAGTGTATGTTGCATGGAGTACAGGGTACACCTGAGTGCCCCTCAACAGCACAATCAAAGCATCCTTCCGGATACAAGGTTTCGTAAGAGCATCGTAAACGCCGAGCGTTGGCGACCCACATGTGAATTGTGAATTCTTTGCGTACTTCCGAACTAATGAAATGAACGTTGACTTCGTCGTATTTACGCGCCGTTCAGGTGGTAAATTATCATGGATTCTGAACTATCACTGGCTATTTGAATGACCATGTTTACTTTGATGTCTACCGCACGACCTATTGGAACGACATGAGCATTGTCGGAGAAATCTCTCTTGCAAAACAACATTTCTCGCGGCCTCAATTCGCCAAGGAGCGGCTTTCCTGATGAAACTCGGATCAATTCTGACAAATCTACCACAAAACGGAAATGATCGGGCCATAATGCTCATGAATTGAAACGCTTTGGGTTTTCTGTATTGACTATCGTGTAGCGGCCGAAGCTGCTTTGACTTTGACTTTGAAAACGATCGCAATTACCGATCAAATTAAAATCCACTGCCTGTTTGAGTTTTTCATACAACATGTTGCGGTGTTGAAATCCTCAGTCTTCAATGTATGGTTTTACATTAATAATCAACGGTAAAGGAGTGCAGAGCAATTACAATTCCGCTACAACATTACAAAAAGGGGGCGTGCGATWGACTCTTTTCAAAACGTGAGTTTACAAATAAACAAAAACTGATGTTTATCTAAATTGATTATAAGAAGTCTTTTAATATCAAGGATATTGCAAATGCTGGCCCACGCTAGGAAGAAAATACTCCGTGTTGAGGTGCACTGCTATTGTTGATGTCTAAGCCTAAAGTAAGGTCACATCGTCATAAGAAACTCCTTGATTTCATCTCGATATGACGACATTATATTTATCTTTGTCTTCCATGCCTCACTGATAAAGTATCAGCTACTACTGTATCGCAATGTCCGTTAAGTCACACAAGCGACGTGACTCGGCGCTTCCTTCAAAACAATCTTTTTAATAACAAACAGCAGGATGGATGGACTAGTTATACTGACTCACGTGTCCGGAATATTGACTGAACAGTAAAGGAATCAATAGCAAGGATTCAAAGACGTAGRAACTAATTGTCAAAATTCTTTGACATTGATCGAAAAGATACCTTCCCTTAGACGTGAACCTCTAGGCTGAGCGGACTTCCCTTCAGGCTGAAACTAATAGAATATCAATTGGTATCCCTAAAGTGCAATGAATGTTTAAATTGTGAACCGAAAAGAGCCGGCACCCGAGAAAAACTTCCATAAAAAACATCTTTCAAAAAACACTGAATTTTTTGAATTTCTTGTTTTTGTAAYGCAAGGATAACGTTTTTGATGGACTTTTTTTCAGTTTACACTTATCCGGCATAGTTATTTACCATCGATTTACAGTTTTAATGAATTACTATGTGGACATGCGGTTTTAGGGAGTTGTTTTTAGATGTKTTAAGGTGCAACTATCACATTTTTTCTAAGGTTCCCATGGAAACAGGTGGTCACCAGATGTTCCGGCGCACTAAGCTGTCACTACCTGAACTGTCCTGGAAGAACTTTGAATGCCTGCACGATTCCTGCATCTTRAACTAGCATTTCTGTCACTTAAAAATACGCCTTAGTTYSCTTTAACRGATCGCTGGATCGCAATTCCTTCCTYCCCRATGAAAATGGATTTCGCTCGCTATAATACARCAAATCCCAAAAGCCGTAGTATTTTTGTACACAGTACACAGGGTGATAAAATGAGCTKTTCAGTCACTAATCTATTTCAGGAAGACTTTTTCTTTGAGACTTAGATGGTATGGACGAGGTTTTATCATTTGGGAACTCAGCCCTCTTCAGTTTTTTTCGTTTTTATTCGTGTGAAACATGCATAAAATCTGAAGAYTGCAGGCCTACAGGCTATTTATTCACAATATGAATGCTAATCATTTGAGTCTCTATTTGCAACCTTGACATATCTATTTCTCATTCCAATAAGCTCAATTATGTTGAAAACGGGTTATTTAACACAACCATAACATTTGTATCAGTCGGCGGTCGTATTTCGGTTAAGAATTTTTATGAAATCCCAGAATTTTGTTGTGAAATATTACTTTACTACATTTTTGCCAAACAGCAAGAGAGCCTGGTATACGAACAGGACTCGGGGTACCCCTCTAGGGTGCGTAACCAGACCCCCCACCACCCACTCCGTCTGGTCCTCCCTCATTTAGTATTTTCATGACGCATTTTCTTCACACTTTCTGTCTTGTTTTATTTTGTCTTTTTGTTTTGAGGAAGGAAAACCAGTTAATCTAGAGATGTTTTTGGCAAGAGAGAGAACAAGACTTCGAACAAATGTTAAGCAAATGTCACTCGTGCCCTAGCAGAGATTCGAGCTCTCGATCTTAAAGTAGTGAGAATCGATCCCGGGGGCCCGGGGAATCGATTCATTAAACCGTTATTTTAAAAACTCGTTATGCCGACATCTAATCATAGTCATTTGAAAACCTCTAGCTAAAACGTGCCACGATTACGCAGAAATGTGTAATTTTAATCTTTAAAAGTTTAATTTCTTTGCATAATTCTTTATCAGTGCTTTAGGTGGGAAAGCGCCAATTCTCATGAGCAGCCAGCGTCATTATAGCTCTAGGCGAAGTGGCTCTACTATGGTGGTCGGGCGTCAGGTGACTACATATGGATCCTATAATAACTAGGTCATAATGAGGTCGTTCTCGGAACTACGACGTAGTTGTGGAACCGCTRTTCTGGAACTGTTTTCTGGCCCTACATACCTAATTTTCACATCTGTACGCTACTATAAACGGTTTTTATGTTAACGAGTTCATYCTTGTCTCAAAACTGCTTTATGATCCATATTCAATCTTTTGGACCCTCTTTGTTTTTCCTGTAAACTAAGCTGCACTGTTTTCTGGCGTCATTTTTCTTATAAGGATTAACTTGTTTACCCAACGCTTTGACGAAATCGCAATAATTAGCGATAGATGGYAGTTGGGCGTGGATTGACAGACTCAATTACAAAAAAAGGCGTTTTGTTTTCACAGTGCCTTAGGGAGATTGGCTMAGATTTGCAAGGAATGCCGTCATAGACATTATCATAGCGCGTACTAACATCATCCGGAAGAACGTAGGAGGCCTTTAACGGTATTTAAATAGCGCTCCACCTTCTAAAAACTCATTTATAATTGGATRAAGAGGTTTAGCCCACAGGCGACTAATGCACAGATAACGAAGGTAATSTGATGTGCATATGTGGAAGACGAAAGACGTGCAGAGCTTACAACACCTTAAACATTAAAATCTACCGGTTATAGTAATTCTTAGAGAAGTGTGACATAAAGTGATATTGTGTGACAACCTTGTATCTTGATTGAAGCTGGATTCATTACAAAGCAATGAAAACAAATAACCGGGATAAAAAATACTGTATTCAGCGGAAAAACAACATAGAAAGCCATTTTATTACGGTAACRCAACAGAATAAGCAGAATATATCTACAGCGAAAGCAATGAAAAAACGCTACGCCGATTGAGTAWGAAAACAGAGAAGGACAGTTTAGCGCGGCAAAGCATCAATAATTGCACCGAAAAACTTAAAATAATAACATAAAAAAGTGTCTTTTATTTTATCAATTTTAAATTGCTTTTCCGGTCATTCAGCRAGTGCTAATTATTCAGATGATTAAAAACTTGATAGCTTAGTCCTTTGGACTTCTTGTTTTAAATGATACCCTAGTTAATTGCTATAGATCACTTCCGTACTGATCACGTGGTGACGTCGAGCTTCCGGAATACATTGCACTAGAACATGATAAATTTAAAAAATTCTCAGTTTTGTAGTCAAGACGTATTTTARAAGGCTCGACGCATCAAGTCAGTTATTTGCTAGCGGACTTAATTAGTTTAGTATCTTATATTAGACCTTTTCGAAATATAAGGGTTTTAGTCTTTGAATGAGAACATTCGATGCAATTGTCTGTAGACAAATAAGATCGTGTCTGTTAGTCTCGTACCCAATCTACTCTCTTTTCTACAGAATGACGTCATAACCCGAATGTAACAGCGCCATTTAGGAATTTGAGAAGAGCTGGCAGAGTGTAGCCTGGGGACGAGGCTATGRCTTTCCAGGTATGCACTGGAAAAGGCAAATTTTTAGACCAGACCACTATAGTTGGTAAAAATGAAAGAATAAACGAGAAAATGTACGAGAAAAACAGCATATCAAGASTTTCTGATTGAGTGCAGCTTTGACCCATACAAACTGACTTGTAAGATATTGTCGACTTAAAAAAGATGGTCAAGAGAYCTCACATTTATCGAATTCCATGCAGGCAGATGCGATGACAGCGAGCGAAAGGAAAATTGGAGCATTTGAGGCGTGGTGTTCACRTGTTAGATATTGCGTATGAAAATACGGTAGAGATACTTGACGTGTGAAATAGTCAGTCGATTACTAGCTAGTAGGAGACCTTATTGAAATCAGTAACACGGGTTGTCAGTAAGAAAACAGTGCAAAAAAATGAGATATAATAGCAGCGAGAAAACAGTAACTACAAAAGTTCTTATAATTACTATTTTGTGGATGCACCCGTCGATTGATTTCCAGATGCCTGCTTGCCAACCCTACATTGGAACAAACAAATAAACAATTAAATTCATCGACATTATTAACTCTAATGAAACAATTAGAGATGAAATAGTGTAGCTTATTACTAGTATGGCCGCCATTTTGAATTTCAGTAAGAAACTATGGGATGTACAAGGAGCGCTTACTATAATTGTCATAAATTGTGAAAATAAAACATTTGGATGTTGTGAAGCAATCATTGAAATGTTGAAGCGAAAAATTGATAGGAWRTAGTTATTCTGGAACATTCTTTATGCTCTTTTGTCCCTTGACATGCCATAATTTCTAACACGGCGGCCATATTGGTAATACGATCCATTAAAGTGCAATACAATAACAACGAATAACAACCGACAGTTTGGGCAGAGTAGGGAACATATACTTCAAGATCGTTATAAATGAAAAAAAAAGAAGAATTGTTTGGGTATTTTGAAGAAAAAGTGGTCCCACTAATTTCAGCAGGAAATTTGTTAATGATTTTTCTTGATATTTGTCACAGAGCGTTTTGTAAACAGGATAATTTACAGCAAACAACGTGTTGTTTTCCCTCGTGCGCGTAAATCGATTATCACTCTATCGATTATCCCGCGATGCCCTTGGGCACAAGWCTGCGGTTTACCCCATCAATAGAGGTCCGCTTCTTTTTTTCCACAAATTTGAAGATAAACGGCATGTGAGAAAACCAAGATGGGGCAATGTGCAAGAACTCTACTTAAAACGCGCCGACGCTAGCTAAATAGCGTGCGGCATTTTATGCATAGTCTAACTACGGAATGCCTTTATAATAAAATTGAACGGAAATGTTTTGACTCCTTCTGACAAAAATAAGGACTGAAAAGGAGACAAGGGAATTTTATTATGCTTTGAAGAAATTGGATAATTGCTTCTAAACAACTAAAGTTATCTGGWTGAATTCGTTTTGTATTTCATATTATCAAATGCAATCACTTATAACATTTTCATAACTTTACAGTCAATGAACTTCTCGTGAAATGCCACCTGGTCATCCCCGATAATTCAGTTCTAACAAAATATACAATGGAAACCAATTGAATTAAAGATGGCGACCATATTGGTTTTGAGGAAGGGTGAATAAAACGCTTTTCAGCACATAAATCATTATCCAGTGGATAAAATCCATGCAAAATCCACSAAGATAACTTTATCCAACCTTCGGTCTATTTTCGGCGCTTTATCTTGATGACACAGTGTTTTCGCTTTCTTAATAGTTTTTCAACATGTTATGATGAGTTTATGAGAGCAAGTACTAGAACTATGGAACAATTATAGCGACATTAAAAAAGATTTCGTGTAGTTAATTTAGAAATAATGCTTTCCCTTTAGGACTGGCTTAAGTAGTATTGAATGGATAGTCTTTGGTGCAAAGGCTAATTACCACCCGAGGGCTTTAGAGAAATCATTCGTTCATCGTAATACAGTACTACATATTTAAGCTCTATATACTTTCAATACTGATAAATATTCGTAATAAAAGCTACATGAATACATACACTGATTACTGACAAGACAGACGTCTCTGTTTGCAGTGTGTATATGTGCTTCTCAGCAAACTAACCCTATCAATTATTGCATTTCAATAGTCCCACATACAAAACTACCGCTTCGGGTTGTATTCCCTCAGGCCATTATAAAAACGAAACGGTTTGAAATATTTCCAATTTAGTGGTTGAAAAGTTCTTACATGAAAGTGGTGAAGCCGCCGCCGGCTCATCAAACGTTCCTACGTTTTACAGCAACAGAAGTTTACTGAAATCACTGTACTTACGAAAGAGCTATGTCCATCATGAACAGTTGAAGAACCAGGATAGCTGTCCAGTTGGTGAATATTCCGTGCGAGAATCTAAAGAAAAAGAAGAGCAAATCACTGACTTTGCCATGCTGCATATTGCCGGCAGTAGTAATAGTCATGAGATCTTTTCCAATGAAAGATRCCATGCCGTCTTTCCCAAACACTGCCTCAAATTTACAAYTTTTAAAATTGTACAATCGGTTACTAACAGGACACGAGACAAATACTCACCTCATGTCAAAGCCAGAWACCAGTTTTCCACATCAGAAACCTACGTWCTCCTTGCCAGCGAATCTTTGCTGATCTGCTAGTTTGTGGGTCGTCTGGAGTAAAGGCTACCAAATCAGAACAAAAAAAAAACCTACCGGTTGGTTTATTAGACTCTTATTAATGTTAACGTTTCATGTCAGACCTACGACCTTGAAATTTTCAATACTCACCGTGAATGACCGATTCCRCGATTGGAGGTATGCGACCAAGTGTTACCATTTCATATGCCGCGACATACGATAGGTGTTGACGAGAGAGATATTGACTTATGTTGTTTTAGTAATCATCTTTATCGATCTATTGAGGGGATTATCTCATAAAAATACAAAAACCAACTATCGATAAATTGCTATTGACCAATAACGGATACCARTTCGTTTGGCTTTGTTGTAAAATACAAACGGTTTAGTAGCAACGAAGTATGTATATTGCATTTCTTTTTTCCCAACAAATCTGTTCCTTCATCCTCGAAATAACGCCGACAATTTTCATCACTGATCCCATGGAAAATCGTTTATGATTTCTAACACAGTAATTCCGATTCCAAACYTTCACATTATATTCCATTTATCGTGATAAATAACCCCAAAACAACCTGGGTTTTTTTAACTCTTTTCAAGGTGACTTKCTTTGTGCCAATGTCAACAAAGTGCCCTCAACGATTTGCCTCCATGTGCGTCCGATGCAAGAACGCTTTATATCCCGATAAGGGGATCATCCAATAATCTTGTTAGTTTTTCTGAACCCTGAGTAGGCGCAAGTGGTATAGCCATTGGTTCGAAACTGAACTGATTAATAAGTTTTATAATGAACTATACAAGGGAACCAAAGAACTTCAAGGGCGTGTCAAGGTGAGAGAGCGTGTCCCTACACTCCATATCGATCAGGGGATATTAATTGTGAAAGTACAATATCCGGCCAAAAAGGAAAGGCACATCACCGGTTTGTGAATATTTTCTACTTCTTTCCCCAATATGTTGTTTACAGGAAAAACATTTCTAGCTGAAAACTTTTACAAGCTTGTCTAATAACAACTCGTGACCAAATAGGTACAATTACATGATAAACAGGAACTGTTTAACAGTATCTATTAGCTTTATATTTCACTGATAAAAACAAGGGATCCATTACTATAGTAATAGGAATYTTTCAAAAATAGCACTATTTACGCATTGCACTGTGGTCTGGATTAGTTACAAACATCCTTTGTTCAAACAACCAAATATGGTGTTAATGTTTGTGCTGAAGCTAGACCACAATGCAACATGATTTTGTATTTCAGAAAATATCTCAATGCGGTAATTTGCATTAAGATACATTGAACGCGGGCTTAACCAAAATGGCATTTTATCCTATTATGTGAATCACGCACGAGTCAGATTTGATTCCCTGAGGACACTGGTGAAAAACGCACTGCGCATGTCCACAGATTTCCCGCTGAAATCTGCCTAATTTCCTTTGTAAAGCGATTTTTGTGAAAGTTTTTTACAATTTATAAGCTCKTTCACCGATATATAAGATTCACATTTCCATCAATCATTGTCCATGATAGGTCCTTTTAGTATAGTTTCTATTTTTATCTTGTCATTTCTATTTTGAGAAAATGASGTTTTTCGTAGTGTTTTCTGTGTTGTCGCTGTAAATCGCCAGGCGCTCTGTTGACGCGAGCGCCCACTGGCGGGAAAGCTGTGGGCATGCGCAGTGCGTTTTTCACCAGTGTCCTCCCTGAGTCAAACGTATCGCCATCTAAACTTCATTGCCACAGGAATACAGGCTACAACCACTCGAAAAACTCCTACAATCCTAGGCATTTTATACTTGGGACATTGCAAAACATAACTACAAGTCGAGCGCTATAAGTCAATACAAATCAGTTTGACAAACCCGCCGGAATCCAAACCTTCTCCCCCTGTGCAATATTGTGTCCATTTTAATCTTCTGATTATTTTTGAGTATGATAATATTACGTCTAACAAAACTGCAGGTGGGGGGAGGGGGAGGGGAGAGAGSAGATGAAAAAATCAATRKTTGTAGTAAACCAGCGCGAAGATGATTATTTTMTTAAAGAAGGGTTTACATGCAGGTTACAGTTTACGGACAAATTGTGCTTATTTATATATCTTTTAAATTCAATTTATAATATTATTGTTATATATATTTTTTTAATTTCTATATATAATATTTTTTGCCTTTCACACCGACAACAACAAGGACAGAGAGATTAGAGAGTGGGCCAGGCAATGAGGCCACAAGGACCGTTTATTATATCCTTACTGGCTTCAGTGCCTCTTTTACATCCCCCCTCCCCCCATCAAACTAAAAATATAAAAATCTTTTATGCAAAAAAAGATGAAATCTGATCGAAATAATGCCACAAAAAGATCATCGTCGGTTGTCTAGCCTTGCAAACCAATTAGTAAAAGTCTCTTGAGTTTGCAATGACTTGTGGTGGCTTTATGACGATGTCTCCTGATCTTAGATCAATGTAACTACAATTTAATTATCTTGTAGATACTCACTTGATAGTAGCCTTCCGTGTATTTAATCAAGACGTAAGTTTTCACGATATGTTTGGACAGGAACAAGAAAAACAAAGACCACGGCACAAAGTTATATTAGTCAAACTTCGTTATAAAAGACATTTTTCCTGATTTTTTTCGTATTTCTCTCACATTTAATACCCCTAAAGGTTTCATGAGTTGAAAGGTTTACAGGTTCAATGTCAATTATACTTTTCTCGCTTCACTCAAGTCAAGAAACTAAAGTTTAAGTTTAAGTCTTGTTCATGTTAACAAGTGGAAACAATGTCTCCGGCCGGACGGAAAAACTTTCTTTTCTTGTCAGCAATTGCAAAGAAGAGCCTCTTCAAATTTTATTATTATTTTCATGAAATGTCAGCATCCATGAATTATGATTTTTGTCTTGAAAGCTGCTGTTCTTCTTTTTTTTCATTTGTTTTTGGGAAATATACGAATATAWGTTGGTTCTGTTATAGTATTACGGCACATATTAGAAAACGAGAATAGCGTACAAACAAAATAAATAAAACGATAAAAAGGGATAGAATGAAAGAAAGGATGAAAGTAAAAAAAGTTGATAATTTCATCGATCAAACATTTTTCTCGATTTCTTTGTTTGGCATTATCTTTTTTTCATTAACTTTGATGATTTCTTTCCTTTTTTCTCATCTTTTTTTCTGTCCTTCTCATCCTTTTGTTTTGTTTTCTGTTAGGTGTAGTTTACATTTGATATATTTGTTGGTTTAAGTGAATATTGGTCGCGCACGTCGTAACACCCACTCCAARGCTAATGACGCGATTAAGAATCCGCTTCCTGAATCAGATTAGAAGGCTAATCAATTAGCAGTCTTGTAGGTGATCTATAGGGCTAAACCGTTAACTAACTCTAATTATTAACGCCCAAATGTATATAAAGATGGATTTCATTGACAACCTTGCAGTTAACGATTGACTTGGAGTTCATACACTAGAACCTTGCTCAAGAAAAAAGTTATAAAGGTAACTATGACTTACTATGTCTTAGTACTCTTACTGTGTATTGCACAACGCGCCTTTGGAGTCTACTGTACGAGAAACTTCTCCTCTTAATGCGAAGGTACTCATGAGAAAAGAAAAATATCAGATGCAGTTACGACACTCAAATTAACCTTAGCTATTTTCTGACGATGTGAATTTATCAATTTATCGCGACTCGTTACAAGGCAATCAGACGCTGCTCGCTTTAGTTTAGCCCTAGTTTTCCTTATCATAATCATTAAGCTGAACAATTAGACGATTTAACTGTTTAAACTCAGTAATTCGATATCAAGGAGGTCCAACGCAGTAAAGAAAAAAAAATTGATAATTCAAGTTTTAACACGGCGAAAGAGTCGGCTAACTCTAACGACTTCCGTAAGAGGAAGTTTTCAAAGGTTGTTTAAACAACTGCTTACAAATCTTTTTCAAACAGATTTTTAATCAAGCAAACCGAGTCTAAAGAGCTTTTATTTCCTTCTAAGACTTTTCCGACCTTAAAATAGCAAATAAAGTATAAACTCCACAAAAAATACGATTTGACTTACAAAAACCTTTTCCACCACGCCCAAGTCCAGAATATAGCAATTCTTTTTTCGTATGATGAGTTTGCTGTTTGCCTTTCTGGCCTGTATGGAAATTAGATTCTATTATTTCGCTTTTTCTCTATTGGCAAATAATCAAGTGTACTAAAGTGAAGTACATACGCAAAAAGTGTATTTCATGTGTTTATAAAGACCACCCAAATCATCGGGACKGTGTTCTAGCTCCTTTTTCCAGTTGTCCGCGGATAACATAACAATGTCAAAAGAGTACATACATTTTCTATATTTCATCTTCTTCAATATTGGTTGGATCATGCGTCGCAAATTATCGCATCGGTCATTTTTATGTTCGAATGTTTTATATTTGCGAATTGTGGATTTGCGCACGGGTTAAAACGGACGTTTTTGTAAAACTGCAATGTGGATTTGCTTTGGATGAGCACCATACCTCGCAATTTCATTATCGCTCTCACAAAACCTCATCATAGGCGTTCTGCTAAGTATGGTCTCGATGATGTTACTGAATCTGTCAACATAAACCCTATTTATGGGGTAGGATGCCTCGTCTTTATTAAACGATATCAAAAAAAGATAGCCTTACTTGGAGCACCTCATGTAAACAACTCAAAATTCACTCTTAACTTAAAATATGTTCAGTAAATTCTTGTTCGTCAACCGGAGCTTTCTATGCATCGTATTTTCAGTATTTCTACCTTATGGTATCCTTTGCTTTCATTCTTTTTTTCGATTGGACTTTTCCATTCCACAAAAATTCGCTAAATAGAAGACCAAAATCCAAAAAACTTTTTCTTTGGTTAAGTCCATTCTCTCCAGAGCCATGTTAGGCGGTTTTTTGTTGTAAAATTCAGAAATCAGTCCAACGTTTTACTTGTGTTATCTTCTTTCCATTTCTCACTAGATGAAGACGTCTTTTATTCTTGCTCTAATGGTGATGATGGTCATGGTGTTCGACACTAGTGCTCATCCAGCAGTAGTTGGATCATGTTTGAATAAATGTGTGCAGAATTCACAGAGKTGCTATAGCTTTTGCACAGGGGATCTTTGCAAAATGTGTCCTGGGATGGTGAGCTCATGCAAGGGAGCATGTAGAAGAAGAAGAWGATGAGTTTCGCGGTCTCAACTTTGAACTATAATTGTATTATCGCGGAATGGTTTACGAAAGAAACGTAATCTGGTTTCAAGTGTGGTTAATAGCACTATCTGTAATGCTTTAAGATGTGTATAAATAAACTCGATATCTCTCACGACTGACTGTTTATTTTTATTGAATTTATGGTTATATTACGCTGTGAATTGACTTTGTAATTTAACAATAATTGTTTTAGCGTTCTTTTTTAATTTAGTTAAGTTTCACAGATTAACGATGAGCTCAAAAGCCCTTGATTGTTTATTTGTTGGTTTGACTGAAAATAATAAGCCGTTATATTCACATGACTTCAAAAGTTTGGGTTCCTTGTTGGTATTCCTCGTAGCCTGTTGTTTCGGGCTTCCTGTRGGTACAGGAAACCCGAAACAAAAGAAATTCGATYGAAAGCATTCATATTATGAAATCCTCAAAGTTGAACAAAATAACTTCTTGACAAATATTTAACATAAAGGTTYGGTTCCAAGAAATCCAGATGAAAAACAATTGACAGATAAAAACAATCTTCAGTAATATTATTATTTCAGTTTTTTTAGATCAAATTGAGTACCCTGCACTTTGGTCTGTAGTAAAAGCTGCTTATTTTTCCAGTTGTTTCATTTGCCATAAACCATCATTAAGATAGTGAATATTCTCAACTCCAATACCTTTATTGACTGACGCTCTGCAGGCAAAAGATAAATATTGTTTATAAAACTATAATTTTGAGTGTGCAAGTAATGTCAACTGTAAAGGTTTTTTCCAGCCAAAATATTGATCCCTCTTTTGAACCTTCCGCCGTTCACTTCTCACTCCCACATGCTGACATCTGGTCATTTGGTAATTATACCAAAACAAGCAACTGCAATCCCGATCCCAAACCAAATATCTTAACCGTTGATCCCATATACCATGTCAAGACCCTATTCTACTGGGATTGTTCACAGTATAGACTCTTGTAGACTGCAATAAACATCAAAGTCTAGTTTGAAACTTACATGTCATTGGTCGACATCTTTAATACTCCAATTGCAAGGGCATGTTCTTTACCTTCTGCCATAATGGCCTTAATAAGTGTTAAGGAAAGAAATCATATCTCTATGTAAATCTTAGATTTGGTTCAAATTTTGCTTTAAAGCTTAAATTTTAAAATTGCTCCAAGGACAGATTCCTCATTGATTCTTGAATTCCACAGGCCATTGACAGCATTTCATGAAACAAATCGAAACTTTGTCTCAATGATCAAAGAATGATATAAATTCATTTTTGTTCTTATATCATTATATTCCTCTTAGTTATGACATACATGTAGCTTGCATTGCCATACAATGCTTGTTAGATATTATATATTTTTTGCGACGTCACCTAAAATCCAAGAAAAAGTGACCATTCAAGGATACAACTATGGCATCTTTAGGTTGAGAGATCATTTTTGCACCAGGCGATGTCAATCCTGGGCACATAATGTTTGCTCCACTAAGAATAAACCTAATTGCACCTCTGTCTACTTGCTCATGCGGTAACATGAAKGGATCTATAAAAATCACAGTAAAAAATAAAGAGAATAAAAGAAAGGTRAGACAATTTATAACCTAAAGAGAGARAGATGAAGAAATAGAGGCCATWCACAAATTTCCATACCMAGGATCAGTGKCCATGAACAAAGCATTGAACTGAGGTATCAAGGCACATTGCACAYAGATCTTTTTATTTAATGCTCAATGTATCTTGATGCTTTGTTCTTGATCACTTGACCAGAGTATGGGACCAGAGTATGGGATCCCTCTGGTATCATCTGGGGGATCTGGGTTCCATCCATCACAGTCAAGTAGGTCTTCAACTCTCTCATAACAAATTTTATGATTAGCTGTCTTGTTCTTAAAAAGAACAATGACCCTTTTTGTCTTTGTTTTCTTCTTTTGTTTTTTTAACAAGCCTATGGGAGTACATCTTCCAAGAGGTTAAATCCAACAGTCTCCTCAGGCATGTGAGGAAAACAGGAAGCCCAAGAATAGACAATATAGTATAGCTTATACATAATGATKTTATATTTCTGACAATAACACTTACACTGATGCAGTAACCTCAAAGTTGGATAATAGCTTCCATCTCTTTGTCGGAAGAATAATAATTCTTGATTGACAGCTAGAATTTCTATATGTTCATGACTGTGGATTAGAATACAGAATATTACATATAAGTTATGACCATAACTATATATCCGTAAGAGATGATTACTAATAACCGAGGCATTAAGCCATTGTAAAGACAAAAACAAAGGATTTTGCATGTATGCATATGAAATCTACTCTATCTGCTTTACCAACCACTTCACAACAACCATAGGATCTTTCTTGGGAAGTATTTGATTGATATAGTCTGCAATTGGTGGATACTGCTCAACAATTTTCGCTTTAATTCCTCTTTGTACTGATGATTTAACTTGTGTTACTCCAGATACATTTTCTTTGTGCTGAAACCTTTTATAAGAAAAGAGAACGGTGTTACCAGTCCCTTTAAGGGGTCATTTTCAGAATTTCCGACGAGGACCCCTGTCCTTTTATATTAGGGAGTCCCTCCCTGGTACCCTAGGACGCATGTAAATCGMCCATTGCCTTCAGTGTCGGATACAGTGTTTATATATACATGATTTTATCCTCCATCCCCATTTTTATTACTATGATTTTGATAGTTACTTCAGTTCAATTCCATAGATCTATACACTGCAGTAGATGGGTACGTATGTATACAGTATTAAGCTATACATGTATACACTAAAAAGGTACTATAATATGATAATAATATAAAAGAGATTCTAATATAGAGTTATGGTAAATTTGTATGCTTTATGGTGGTATTGTATTATAGGTGTATTAATATGTGCCCGCAAAAGGGTGTCCATACGAAAAGAGGTGCTCGCAATATCGAGGTGTCTGAGTAGATCCCAGCTTATTAAATACGTAAGCTATTTGAACGAATATGTTCAATAAATAAACAATTTCAAATAAAAGATGTTGCATAAACTATAAGCTTACTGTGTAAAATGTATATCAAGTGAGGCGGTAAACGCTGGGAAATCGAGGAAGAAGCTCTGCCGGTTTCATATGCGCCGRCCACATGATAATATGGCCTCGAATTCTTAATGTAATTCCAGCAATACATTCATAATAATGGACAATCAAATTCAGTACTTACTTTTTAAACATTTTGAATAAATTATAAAGAAAATCTTAGATTTTGAAGAGCATTTCTTTGCATTTCTCGACTTTTTGCTTTTTCACAGCGGCTGAAAAAACGCCAGCGATACACGAGGCCAGTGATCACATTACCACAGGGAGCCCGGTAATATTCATAGTCTCAAAATGGCGTCTGCGGTRAGAAGTATTCCAACGCCAAAATTTTCACAAGGAGAGACTGTTTTATGCTATGAACCTGATCTGACAAAATCCAGAGTCCTTTATGAGGCAAAGGTAAAAGCACTTGTTCATTCAAGTAATATTTCTTTAGCTTTTTCTTTAGGAATTTTATATAATTTGTAGTGATGATTTGTGACAGTGAAAGCTGCAATACTCTATAAGCTTAAGCTAAGCTAAGATGTCTTAGCTTACGTTATAATTTTATTATATCTGMTGAAGGTTATTGAGGTGGACGTGACAAAAGATGAAAAGGGCAAGAAAGTACCTGAGTATTTTATTCATTTCAATGGTTGGAATAAAAGGTTTGTTTTGCCTTCTGTGTGTATAGAATGCACATTAGGAATGTGTGGGTAATACAAAGTAATAGACTGTCTCCCCCTGTCTTACATTTTTACAGTCAAAATCCAAGCTCTTTTCATGTTTCTAGTATAAATAGACCAGCAATGGCATATATGTAATGATGTGACAGATGTGAGGCAAACATAGTGGTGTAGGAAAACGTTTTTGATATTGTGCGCATGAACCATTTTATATTTTAGTAATGATGATCATTAATAAATATTTTAACCAATAGCTGGGACAGATGGGTGCTCGAAGATCAAGTATTAAAGAACAATGATGCCAACAAAGCCCTCAAAGAGAAGCTTCATGAGCAAGCTTTTCAGTGAGTTTATTGTCTTGTTTGTAAATGACATTGCTTTTCATCAGCACTGATGTTACATATGCATGTAGCTTTAAGAAGAAACGCAAGCAAAAAGTGAGTGCAACCTTGTCAAATAAATCAGATGAAACTGCATCTACATGCAATGCAGGAAAGTCAGATACTGAGGTAAAATGGATTTTTTTTTTTAAAGTTATTAACAATTAACAAATTTTGTGAATTATAATTACTTTTGTTGCAATTATTTTGTTAAGTATTATGAGATAGAAAAGAAGATACTATTAAAGAAAATTGATTGTAAAGAGGTTTTGTTCAGCTATTATCTAACTGCAATTTGAAATGATACATTTTGCCAAGTAGAACACTGAACAATGGACAAATAAATCCTCTTTTCTTGTTATATTAGGCTGAAACATACATTTTGGCTAACCAAACCTTGATGTATTATTTGTCTATAATACACAAGTCAGAAAGTGATTATGATGTATTAAATATTACATGTAAAGGAATGTTCTTATTGTCTAATTTAAAGGATATTGTTGATAATCCAGAACAGCCAAAAGTAGAAATTGAAATTCCAAGTCAGCTTAAGCTGAAATTGGAAGATGACTGTTACTTTATCAAGAGAAAAAAGAAGGTTTGTAGCACGTCCCTGTATAGCAAATATATGGGAGTACCCCCCCTCCCCCCCCCCCGGAATGAGTTGAATAGAATTTGATGACTAATCTGAATGGTTGAATGAATCATTCACTAACACTCTGAATAACTCATTGACTAACTCACTTATTGCATGATTTTGTGATTTATTGCTTTTGCCTAGTAAAAATGAAGGGTTAACATTTGATTGACATCAATATTATGAAATTATTACCGGTACCGATTTCTAAGTTGTGCCTTTGCCTATGAGTGAAATTTCATTGATATGTAATTGAAATTAGTTTGGGAGTCTTCTAACGTATTATAATTTGACTTACTATGAATTGAATGCTGAAAATTAATCATTGTCTTATCTCTTTTCTATATCCAAAGCTKGTTCAGTTGCCAAGAAGTCCCTGTGTTGATGAAGTTGTGGATGAATACTACAAACACTACATGGAGGCCAACCCAGAGGCAAGGTATGTGCTAAATTATAGTTCATGTAATCTCTGTACTGTATGTTTGGGCAAATGTGATAATCACAATTTGTTATTCTAAATTTATAGTATTTATAGCGGGCATCACCCTGAATAGTCTTAACTAATATTGCGATGCCCGCTAACTACTCATGTGTAAATTATTATTATTTATTGAATTAAACTTGTAAAAACTTGTATTCTTCCAGTGGTCATTTAGTCAAAGAGCTCATGGATGGCTTAAAAATATACTTCAATTTCACCCTCCCGACCCTGCTGCTTTACAACTTCGAAAGAGAGCAGTTCAGAAGCATAATGCAAATAACTTCAGACAATGATGTCACAATAAACAAAACTGAAAATGGAAAGACTGAAGAAAAGTGTAGTATTGTCAGCTCAACCACTGAGAATGCAATGGCTAGTGATGTGTCAACCTCACCAAAGGAAAAAGAAAGTATGAATTTAGATATTGAAGCAATCTTTATTCAATTTGGAGGTTTTGAAGCAGAGTCTCAAGAAATTCAAAATAATTTGCATGTATTCCTCCTTGTAAATAAACTTGAAATGAAGTACTATTTCTTTGAGATGCCTTTGTAAAAAAATGTGAATTTTTGTTTTCTTTTACATTAAAGTGATCATGACCATTAAGTTTAAAGTCTTAACCTTTCATAATATATTTTTAATAGAATTTTTGTCTCTATTTTCATTAATATTATTGTTGTTGTTTTTAATTAAGAGAGAAGCCTACGAAGAAGACCATTAAGAAGCAATCCTGTTCAGGCTGAACAACAAACCAGCCAAACAAATCAAACCAGTATTGAAAACACTGAACAAACAGAGCCAATTAATCAGACCAACATAACACTTCTTGAAGATACCCAATCTGCATCTGTGTCATCAACATCATCGCCAGATGCTTCTATCAAGCTGTCTATCAAAAGAGTAAGTAGACTGTGTGAACAATAGGCACTTGCAGTATTTAGTTACATTACCAACATTTACCTCATCAATCAAAAAAGGCTAAATGTCAGAAGATAATGCTTTTTCTGGGTAACTTATTATACAACATGTTGTAAGCATAATATGTCTTTTTGCTTTGTTTTTCAGAAAGCAAAAGAATTAGAAGAAGAATCAGAAACATCAGTTGAAAACACTCCTGTTGCTGCTTCTGCTTCTTGTCCAGCTTCTCCAACATCCATCACAGCTGCTCTTCTACCTGCTTCCTGCAAAACACTTCCATCTAAAATTTATGGTCCAGAACATCTTCTTAGACTATTTGGTAAACATTACTGTGACGGTTGGTGTTTTCAGATGAGTTTATATCTCACATGAATGCATTCATTATCCATTGCAGTGAAACTTCCAGGTTTGCTTGGCAGGACAGATATGCCTGAAGTGAATTTGACCGCATTGCTGGATCACATAGACTTGTTTTTGAGGTGACTTGATTTGTTCAAACTTCTTCATTTTTGTGTCCATCATTGTTTGGGTTTCTTTTCTAATTATTCCAATTTGTACATTAGCCTAAATATCTAGCTGTGGTATTTAGAGCGGTTTTCATTAACTTGTGAAACACACTTATAGCGTATTTATCGCTATTACACTTTGGCTCTTTTGTTTTTTTATTGTCTGTACGCGACTATTACGATCTATTACACTGTCATTATTACACTTTGTTTCACGGGTTTATGAAAACCACTCTATCACAATTTACAACTAYTATATAGTCAACTTACTGTAAAAGTGTTATTTTGTTTTCTTTTAGGTACTTAGTGGAAAAATTCAATGTGCTTTTTCCTGCAGATGTTTATCAGAGCTTTCTGTAGCAAACTGAGAGATTACAAACTTGCTGAATCCTTTGTGCAAATCATATYAGTACGGTGTACATTGCTTTTATTTGTACTATCTCACATAAGCGATTAGATGGATGGAGTAGAAAGTGATACTGAAGTACATGCTTGTATCCAAGAATGTTATAAGTTATTTACTAGAGTCTCAGTCATAATTTAAGTTTTCTTTATATTTATATATTAAATAAAAATGCTACATTGTTACTGACATGAGTCTTTTTGTGCCTAAGCTTGCTAAACTAAGGAACATTGGGGATATTCTATCCTAGCCAGCCTTATTTAAACAATAGAGTAATCAGATCTCCTGAATGATCAAAATGCAGTTCAAGGGTAACTATCAGGCGCATAGCATGGACTTTTTGTCTAGTACGCACGTCATGGAGCACGACACATATTATGGATCGGGGTTTAGCGACCGCAGAAGCTGGTCGAGTATTGAGGGTGGTCTGGGGTCCTCCCCAGGAAATTTTAAAATAACTCTTCGAAATCTTTTTGATAACGAAGCCTTGGTTGGAGAAAGCAAGCAAAGACAATAATATAAAAAAATCCCAAAAATTGTAATATTTCCTTGCCACTAGTAAGCATGTGCCTATATGTATAAAGGATGCTATGCGCCTGACTATATGATGTTTAAGGACCATCCAGTTTCTGAGATCTGGTCTAAAAACATTTCCTAAGTGGTGAGCCCTATGCATTAACGTAGAATGCAATGGGGGGTCTTTATCAACAGTACTGTTGGACTTTTTCAATTGATTGTTCAATGAAAATGACCACTAGTGTGTTGGTAAATAACCAAAGAAAACAGTGTGAAACCAACTAAAATGTATTAGTCTATAATCTTTCAAAAAGTCAAAGGAATTAAAGACTGAGTATTACAAAGTGATCCATACATCAGTATTTTACTGTACATCAAATATTATTTTACAAATACTTAAAAGTCTTCATTATACAACTTCTTAATAATACAGTCTATTAATAGACTTAAAGAAACCAGACTTAATAATTCATTTCATTCTATACACGTTCCATTGTCAGATTTCCTTGTCTTTGATTTGTAGCTTCCTGCATGAGTGAGGCATGGCTGTAAAGTAAAATAAAGCAATACACCAAGGGCTGAAGGGCCTGTAGAAGCTATAAACCAAAGGGCCTGTTTTACAAAGTGTAGATAGAGTCATCCACTCAATAATTTTTGTATTATTAGATGGATAGTCCTATTCATCCCTTGTACAACTGGCCCATTATAATGTAGAGTTCAAATAGGTTTGTGAAATTTCTAACAAAAGGTAATACTAACATAGTCGTCTAACCTTATTTTGTAGTGTGTGCATTAGTGAAGCACATCATGGTATTGATGAAAGTATTTAGACAATGGATTTCTAACTGAGGAYAAAAGTTTCTTTTGCGAAATTTCCATTATCAGAAGATAAGAATCTTTTGAAAGAGCATTGATCTAGAWTCCTACACACTGAGTATGTTAATCAAAAGGCCTGTTTGGGATGTAAATATTGCTTATTATTTGAAAAACAGCACGAAACACCAGAAACAAACAAAAAAAGRACAAAATGGCTCAGTTTGTACTTTCATCAATCCCATAATGCATCTCACCAAATCATCAGGGAAAGAACCACAATTCTGCTTTCTATTGTCATATCAAAAGTAATTAGCAGTATAAATGAACACTATTGTACAGGCATATTGTTTGCATTCTAGTGGGCAGCCTAATCATA